TCTAAACTTATTGAAAAAACGTTATATGATCAAATAATAAAATATGCCGAAAAATATAAATTAGTGCAGAAAAACCAACACGGATTCCGAGCTGGTCGATCGACACAGACATGTCTGTGTACTGCAGTAGCCTACCAGTTGACAGAATTTCTATACAGCTCTTTAAACTCTAGTACTCTGGTCGCTGGGGCCTTTTTTGATCTTTCTAAGGCGATTGACTCCATAGATCTAAATTTTTTTGAAAATAAAATGTATGCTTTGGATTCAGAGGTAATATGCTTAAATGGCTTAAATAGTATATATCAAATAGAAAAATCCGTGTTCGGCTTGAAAACAACCATTCAAACTTCTTTGAGTCAAACAGAGGGGTTTACTGTTTAGTCTTTACATTAATGATCTTAATGACAAAAGATCGTTAAATTCAACCACTGTAGTGGTTAACTACGCTGACGACACAACAATTGCAGTCACAGCGCGGACCCCTGAGGAACTAAATACAATTATTATATAAAACTAGTAATAAGTATCTTTCAAAAGTGGTGCTATCAAAATAATCTAATACTTAATGCAAGTAAAACTGTTTTAATTAATTTTTGCAACAGAAAAAATCAATACCTGAATAATATTATTCTTGATACCTTGGTTATAAAATACTCAATACAAACCAAATTCCTTGGTTTAATCTTAGACTCACAACTAAACTGGCATGAACACATAAATCACATTAAATTAATGAATAGAGCCTTTTTTGCATTGTTAAATATGAAAAATTCTCAAGAATACCTTTTAAATGTTTATTATGCATTAGCTTACAGTCATTTAAATTATCGTATATGCCTATGTGGGGGCTCTGGATATGCAAAACATGTATTTACTTTTCAAAAGAAAATTATCCGACTTATCTTTAATCTAAAAAACACCGAATCATGCAAAATCACATTCAAAACACACATAATACTAACAGTACCAAGTATACTAAATAGTTTACTATTTTCTAAAAATAATTATTTAAACTTTGACAAAAATAACAAATTTTACTCGTATAAATACAAATCAATACAAATTTAACAAGAAATGCAAATAAAATAATGTCCACTGCACACAAAACAACAAAATTCGAGAGGTCGATCTCATAAGCATTAGCCAAAATATACAATAATTTACCAGAAAATATTAAAGAAATAAATAATTTGAATAAGTTTAAAAACGAATGTAAAAACTTCCTGGCAAACCACTGTTTCTACAACACCTAGGGATATTTTCAGAAATGTTAGAAACCATAGTTTTAAAAATGTATGCTTGTGTTCTGTTTTTTTTGTTTTTTTATATTTATTTTTAAATTATAAATCAACCATAGTTTAAGTACAATATATGTGTGTATATATGTGTATTTATCTAAGTATTTGTGAACCATACAAATTACTTTAATGATGTGTACACCCTATTATATGCGGCGCCGTTTGTGTCATAATTATAAATAAAAAAATATGTTAATATAAAACAATATTTAAAAAATATATAAATGTAAATCAAAAATTTTAAAATATAGTAATATAATAATATGCGTAAATATATTTTATCAATAAAATTTATATATATATATAAATATATATTATCACACAAAGTTATTTATATTTATAAATATATATTATCACACAAAGTTATTTATATTTGCTTAACCGTTATCATTTATATTTTTAGCAGTTTATCCATATATATTTTTAGCATGTGCCATAATATACAGTTGGTTGCATACGCAGCGGGCGCTTACTAATGAAGTTGGCGTCTTTTCACATTACGAGTGGCAGCACCCCAGATAACATTCGTGAGTTCACCGTGAATGCACGGTGAAAAATATTGCTTCACGCGTGAATTCACGGTTGCTAAAAGATGCGTCCGCCCCTGGAATTCACCGTGAATGCCCACGTGAAGATATATCCGCCCATTGAATTCACCGTGAATGCACACGTGAAGATGCGTCCGCCCCTTAAATGCACACCTGAATATCGGCAAATATCACGTAATTTTTGAAAAAAATGAAACAGTGTAAAATGGCGAGAAAACTGGGTTAAATTAAGTAAACAATTATAACAATTGTTTTTTTTTATTAAATCTAATGGAATGAATCACAGATTAACTTATTTACATTAAAACAATGCATTTTCCCAAGGAGAGGGGGGAGTCGAAAAATCGCCAAAATTGCCTCACGTAATTAATGGATGACCCCTTATCTGTGAACTTACGGTGAATTCACGATGCACTTAATTTTAAAGATTCATGGCGTGCGCCCGGTGTGAATTTAATGTGCATTACGAATGTAATTTGGAAACTCACAGTGGATTCACGATTAATTAATTTTTAAAGATTCACGGCGTGCGCCCTATGTGAATTAAATGTGCATTACAAATGTTATCTGTGAACTCACGGTGAATTCACGATGCATTCAATTTTAAAGATTCACGGCGTGCGCCCGGTAGGAGTTTAATGTGCATTCAGGAATGTAATTTGGAAACTCACAGTGGATTCACAATGCATTCATTTTTAAAGATTCAGGGCGTGCGCCCGGCATGAATTATATGTGCATTAAGAATATTATCTGGGAACTCACAGTGAATTCACGATGAATTCATTTTTAAAGATTCACGGCGTGCGCCCTATGTGAATTAAATGTGCATTACAAATGTTATCTGTGAACTCACGGTGAATTCACGATGCATTCAATTTTGAAGATTCACGGCGTGCGCCCGGTGTGAGTTTAATGTGCATTCACGAATGTTATCTGGGACTGGAAGGACATTTCAACTGTCAAAGTTGTTCATGTTTAAACAAAAGTGATTTTAAAACTGTTTTGCGTCATTTTGCGTTTTCGTGAGGTTGTGGCGAGTTTTTTTATTAGGTTTATAATATAAACTTTATACCATACATTTTATAATACAAAAGGTGCGGTCGTTGAGTTATAAATCTGATTTAGGGAATACAAATTAAGAATATGGAGGTTCAACAATATTTTGCACAATTAGTTGATGATGTAGGCCAAATGGAAGACCTAATAATGCAGAATAATATTGATATTCGACTCCTCGAAGAAGGTGCTGTTAAATTGAAGAATCACTGCTAAACTTTTGCTGTCTTTATGGGTATTTATCAAGCTATTGATGCTGAAATTCTTCATAATTTAAACAAAGCTTATGGAATAATTTGGAATTTATATTATACTGTTGACTGAACGTTTTATCCAAAGAACACCTTTTCCTTATATCTATGAATTGAACCAATGTATACATATATGTAACACGCCACAAACATACAGGTATCACGAGAACGCAAAAGTTTTGCGGCAAAACACAGAATACAAAACGCTTGTTGCACTTTTGTTTTAAAAATGTGACAGTTGAACTGTTCTTCCAGTGCTGCCACTCGTAATGTGATAAGACGCTAACTTCATTAGTAAGCGCCCGCTGCGTATGCAACCCAGTATATATTATGGCACATGCTAAAATATATATGGATAAACTGCTAAAAATATAAATGATAACGGTTAAGGAAATATAAATAACTTTGTGTGATAAAATATATATAAATAAATTTTATTGATAAAATATATTTACGCATTTGATAATGTTAAATCTCAATTTATAATTTTATTTCTTTAAGTAATATTTTATAATTTTTGATTTACATTTATATATTTTTAAAATATTGTTTTATATTTATTAATTTTTTATTTATAATTAAGGCACAAACGGCGCCTCATACTTTTATATCTATTATATTTATAAATAAAATATTATTATTATATTATTAACGTTAACGACTCATGTTAGTGAATTGGCCTGAATATCTGAGATTAAAGTGAATTTTCGACTCTGAATACACTGTGCGACAGAAAAAATCTCAGATGAAATCTTTTCACTGATTATGGAAGAGTGCAACCCCAAAAACATATTCCTTAAAGGACTTTCTACGACAAGTTCGCGTTTTAAAAAAATTCAGTACCTGCAAAAGTTTGAAACAAATTTGTTTAAAAATCCCTTTTTATTGATCTTTCTTAAATTTATGGCACGACCATATATCTGCGATTATGGCGTCAAATTTTATTCCCCGATAGCTACCTCGGCATCGCTTTTAGATGTTAATTGTTTCTCAAAAAAGTTCAGGTGCTTGTGAAAGAAATAAATCTTCACTGCTAAAAAATATTTATTTGAAATTTTTATTTCGTCATCAAAATTATCTGAAATCAAATCAGGAAATTTGATTGTCTTTATCAACTAATCGACTTTTCATATTCTTTCAACATTTCGTTTACATCCTCTCGATAATTTTTAGATCTGTGATTCCCCCAAAAATTCTTAATCATACTCTTAGTCGCGGTCCACGCGTTTAACTCTGCCGTGGTTAAAGAATTATCAAACATATCGTCACTTTAAATAAGTTTTCGAATGTCTGGGCCATTTAAAACTCCTGAAAAATAATGATCCGTTACAATTTGTAGTGAAATTAAAAGAATGTAGTTGAAATAGTGCTTTTACTATTTATGAAATGTCAACAAAACTAAATTTATTCCTTACCCTCCTTCCTTCCTTTACCGCCGACGGTGGACTAGTGGTTAGTGCCGGATGTCGTGAGTTCGAATCCCACCAGGGGTATGGCTGTTTATTTGTGTTTGCCCTATTGTGTAATAGTCTTTCGGAGGGGACTTTAAGCCTGCAGGTCCGTTCCTACCCCTAACCCGCTCAAGCCATTTAGTTGGCTTCTGGGACTTCTTAGGAAGTAAGGGTGAAACTAAAAGAGCAATTTTGTATATAAACTTTGTAAACCATCTTTTAGTTTTGCATCGCTTTGTTTTGGAAATATTTTTTTAACCATTGAAGCATTTTTGTTCTTCGCTTGACCATCGCATTAATGAGATTTTTCACTATTTCCAATTTAACAATAAAACTTTACTTTGAGGAATAAGTGGGCAACAAATTTGGTTATCCCACTGGAATGGTTGCTCCCGGTCATGTTTTGCGGGAACCAACCATTTGTACCGAGTGTCCCAAACACAGAGAAAGCACAACTTTAAGGTCGCAGGAATTTTTCCACCGATATTCATCGTACTTGATCTTTTCCAAAATAGTCTCGAACGATTCGTACGATTCCTTCATAGCAGTGCTGTAGGCGATAGGAAACATGGGTTTCTTATTTAATTTGTGCAGAAGAACCACTTTCAAACTTGAAGTCGATGAATCTATGAACACACGCAATCAGTGTTGTTGTATTAAATATCCATTGCTTCTATTAACTTCTTAATGCCATGACAGTGCGTTAATGTATTTTCGTGTTTTTAAAAATACTCTTGCAGTTTGCGATAACTGGTGACGTTCACGCCCAAAGCCAAGTTGTTGCCTTGTTTTAAAAAAGTTGCTAGTTGCTCTGATCCTCGATGCGACAAATTCAAAACCGCTACCATTATATACAATAGTTCCTGCGAAACAGGAATTTGATCCTTTGACGAATATGGTTCTGGTTTAAAGTCTGGATCATCATGATGATCATTGGTCGCTACAGATACTGTAAAACGGAGTGATTTTTGTTCCTTTTATCCATTTTAGCAAATGTGTATAGCAAGAATATCGTAAGAGAGAAATATTTTTCATATAATTATAATATGTTGATTGATTTTATGTTGATACGTATGCTACTTTTTGTGAATTTTTCTCAAACATAAAAAACTTGTTTATTCGGTGCTGACACTTATTTTCCATTTTTCACTCGCCCAAACAATTGCAATTTGCTTAAGCCTGCTAACGTTTTTATGTACAACAGGAAAAAACTATTAAATTAACAGTTTTTGCACATTCAATATAAAAATTACTATAACTTTTAAACCAGTGATTTTATCAAAAAATCATAAGAAAGCTTCTTTGTACAGCCTTTAATTTCCTATAAAAATATGTGTGTTTTATTGCTGTATATTAACTTGTTCTGGAGAAAAAAAATAAATGTAAAACGTGCCGAAACCCCATGTCATTTAAATCTAGGTTTAATATGAATATTACGGGCTTATATGAGTCTGCTAATTTTTTTAGGTCATAAACTAAAAATTTAGTTGGTTAATAACGGACACCCTAATATTTAATAATGGTGTCTTAATCATTCAATAAAGGCACGTGCCTTGATTGTTAAGTATAAAATAATCAGAACTACCTACTTATACTTACTGTAACTACTACTGCTAACTTTTGAACGAAAAAAGATATCGATGTCGGGCAAAAACAAGGGTCAAGGCTATTGTGTATATTACTTTTCAACGTTAAATTGCGATTTGCCTGCAAGTTCTAATTAGGAGGGCAGTATCAACTTTAAAATTTCATAGATACTTAATTTAAAAGGTATTTTTTAATTTTTAAATCCGATTAGTTGCTTAGTTATAATACGTTTAAAGTTTGTTAAAAGTATTTTTATTTTTGTCTCGAATAGAGCTAAAGTGGCCTCGAAAACAACAAAGTAACGGGGTCCCAAATCAGTGGACCAAAGAACCAAAGAGTGCACTCTTTCATTGCATTAAAATTATTAATTAAATTATTAAAAATTAATTAGTCCTAAAAAATGGGTGAAATAAAAGACCCAATTGTATATTTATTTTATACGAAACTTTTTTATCTAACCTTATATTTGTCCCCATCCAAAAATTCCATACAGCGGTAGACTTGGAAATACTTTTTTATTTAAATTGAAATTGAAATTATGTGTAAGCTTTTAATACAAAATCAACTGTTTTTTGAAAAGTTTACACCCAGTACCCACAAAAAGTCAATGTATGGGCGAGAATACTGGGAAACCATATCGTAGGTGGTGATGGGCATAATCGGATTATATCAATAACCGATTATATACAATACGATTATTTCAATAATCGTATGATAATTCGATTAAATAATTATAATCGGCGATTTAAATCGCATACTTTTATCCGGATTTCAATATCGGAATAATTTAATCGAATTGATAATTCGAATGAAAGTATATGCGATTAATAATCGCCTATTATTTTCGAATTAAGTAATCCGCCATTATTAATCGCATATTTTCATTCGAATTATCAATTCGATTAAATTATTCATAGTGAATGAGTCATTCGGCGACTCGAATACCTACAAATAGTAATGTACGATTATGATGATACGATACGATCGGATTCAAACGATTATTTCAATAATCGGATTAGGTACAGGTTATTTTTAATCCGAATTTGCCCATCACTGATCGTAGGACCCATATTTTTTTAACAAAATTGAACGGGCATCTTGTTTCTAAACATGCTTCACACACAAATTCATCCGATGATTGAAGAAATAGTTAACGCTAATTCTGACAAGTTTGACATGAAAGACATATTGCAGCGAGATGGAAAGCCTGTACATTATTGTAGGGATGATAATGGCTTGATGACTCTTATCCAAATCAGTGGATTGGTAGGCGTGGTACTACCGAATGTCCGGCTTGTTCCCCTGTTTAAACGCCAAGTCGAAGGTCTGTCTACATTACAGAACCGGAAATAATGGACGATCTAAAAGATTGGATTTTACATGAATATGCGAATATTACGAAATAAACTATTTCAAATGTGACTTTAGTTTAGAACAGACTATTTTTGTGCTAATCTGTCCATTTAGAACATCTAAATTGATCATCATTTGATCATAGTAAGTTTATTTTATTTAATGAATCAAAACAAAGATTAAATGACAAATTTTAAACGCTTAATAACCGTTAAATAGATGTTAAAAATTAAAAATAGAGAATAAAGAATAAGGTATTACAATTGATACTTTTAGGGTAATGATAGTTTACGTCAATGTAAGCAAGGTTTGCCTCTATTACTTTTGGGTATTTCCGCGAAACCCTACCCCACCTTGACAAAAAATCAGATGTATTATTTAACAAAATAAAAACTATATCTGAAGTCAAATAGTTTAATTGCGACGTAATTTATAACCTTAAAATATTCGTACATTGTGATGCTAACATTAAGAATAAACACGAAAGAGTTTCATTTGAGAAAATTTTAGAAAATAAAGTATACAATATTTGTGCATTTCAAACACGTGCTTGTTTAAGGTTACTATTTAAGTTTTACACAAAAATTATTACAGTATCAAGTTTAGAAGCCAACTTGGTTGCATTTGCCGATTTTCAAAGGTCGCGCCCGTTACGTAAGATTTTATTGACATTTTGTTTGAGTTAATTATCTTTTTTATGTTTGTGTAAAGTTATCCACACATCTCCAGCCACACATTCCTAAACAGGTTCGCGGTCGGTCGCTAGAGCGCGCAGCGCACAGTGGGTTGATTATAAAATTGTGTATAGTTTAATTTAATATCTTTTAACAGCAATTTATCAAGCTCGCGATTAAAAATTAAGATTTAAATACAAGTAGACACGGGGATATAGAGACAGACCTTTTAAACTTCGTGTATTTCAAGTAATTTGTAAGACGTTTCAAAAGTGAGGTTAGCAATTTTTAAAGAGTTCGATTACTAATACCATTAAAAGTTAAATTCAATTCAAGGGGCTTTATTGATAAACATCTATTGGTGTAAAATATTAAATTTGCGTATTTTATAAAAATGTTTCTATAGTCTACAGTTCTATATTGTATGTGTTGATGGCGGTTTGCAAGGGCAGGCAAAAAATTACGGGATAAGGGGACCAGAGTTAACATATAGATTCCAGGGGGTTTTGTTTAGGCACATCTTTTGGGGTGGGCACGGGGAATTTTTAAAGTTTGCGTATTTTACTAAAACTTAATTTATACGCGTGAATAGGGGCTTCGTAAGGGCAGGCAAAGAATTTCATGGCCAATGTTTGCATATTTATTATCTCTTAATTGAGGGGCTTGGAAGTAAAACGGCTCAAGTGCACTTTTTTGGTTGAATGTAAGAATTAATGTAAGAATGAATTTTTACATTTTTAATGTTTAAATTCAAATTCCGCCATTTGAAATAATGTATTTCCTTATTTCAATAAAGACGTTTATTATTATTATTATTATTATAAATGATCTAAGTGCAGAATATCACACCTAAAGAATATTCTAACTTAGTGGTAAAATTATATAAGAACATTTTACATTCCTTGGCGCCATTTTTTATCGTTTTTAAAAACCTGTCAAAATATTTTAAAATATATCTTTGGTAAAACGATTTAAGTGCACCTTTTACTGCTATAGTTTATAAACATAGGCTATTATCTATGGTGGTAAAGCCTTGACAAGTATTTTAAAACATGTCAAGTGATTACGTGTTTTCACAGATATTTTTCAGTGTTAGTCCCTACTGACATTGATCCGACGTCGGAATAGAATCGGCCATAGGATGTCGGCCAGCAGACGTCGGACGTATGTTCGCACAAGCGATTCTGATTATGAATAATACTTTTTGTTGTAAAACTTACCCAAATTTTAAAAAATAAAGTTTTGTTCTAGTACAGTAATTGCATTTAAATCATTTTACCACTAAATTTTGTCTTTCATGCATGACGATTTATGTACATTTTTGTAAAAAAAATTAACAAAAAAACTAAATTAAAAAATTCCTTTTTCCTTTTAATTCTTTTTTGTCTTTAAACAAAACTAAAATATTCACACAGTTTTCTAAAAACTCTTTTCTAGAATTTTAAAATTCAAGTTAACTTTAAAGCCATTTATCTCAGAACTAACAAAAATGCACTTAAACCCTTTTACTTCTAGGCCCCTCAATTAAACTTTGGTATTAAATTCTGTACATAATCAGTTTCAAAGAAAACCATTAAAGAAAAAATATATTATTTTTAATAAACAATACATACTCCCAAATTAATTCATTTTACAAACTATATAAGATGACATATCACATAACAAAACATAACATAACACATGTTAAGCCTGGTCTAATATTGTCGCAGGTCGCAGATCGCAGAACATAAGCTTGCGCAAAGCACCCAGCTAACAAAAGAACCTTGCTCCATCCCCACGTCGCGGGGTGCTTTGCGCAAGCTTATGTTCTGCGATCGGAGGGAGTTCGTAAGGGCAGGCAAAGAATTTCCTTATAAGGGGGCAAAAGTTAACATATAAATAAAACAATTCCAGGGGGTTTTGTTTAGGCACATCTTTTGGGGTGGGCACGAGGAATTTTTAAAGTTTGCGTATTTTACTAAAAGTTTATAAGTTAATTTATACGCGTGGATAGGGGGTTCGTAAGGGCAGGCAAAGAAATGCGTGATGAGGGGGCAAAAGTTAACATATAAATAAAAAAATTCCAGGGGGTTTTGTTTAGGCACATCTTATGGGATGGGCACAGGGAATTTTTAAAATTTGCGTATTTTATTACAAATGTATAAGTTAATTTATACGCTTGGATAGGGGGTTCGTAAGGGCAGGCAAAGAATTTCGTGATAAGGGGGACAAAGTTAACATATAAATAAAACAAT